TTAAGTGAAAACATGCCCCCCAAAAGAATAAGAAACAGTGTACTAGCTCCATTAACATTTAAATTGAAATGTAAGAAAACAAAAAATTGCACCGTAATTCTTTGAGCCAACAATGGGTTCCCAGCAATAAGTTTGCGAGCATATTCTGCCATTTCAGATGCTTCCACTGCATAAACATGTTTAGCACCAGCCTGATATGAGAAAAAAAGTGAGGCAAAAAAAAGAGAGGATGGAGTTGGGATAGAATTCTAGAAGACCAACAAACAAGGATAAATCTATTATGTCAGTATATTTTCATGCACAAACACAGACAAAACTTAGGCAATCTGAGCGGCAAATAACGACAGAATACTGCTACCAGCACTAACATCCACACCCACACGACCAACAAAATCAGTGCAATTCTCAATGACTGCAGCATAATAAGTTCCTGGAACAAGCATGTTTATCATGTCACACACATGCACCTTGTGATCTATAACTACTCAGTATAGACATGCATTTCTTTACAATTAAGGAAAACACAAATGTTTGACAAGATACAAAGCATTTTACCAGCAGCACAATGGCACATATACCTATAACAAAGAATTTTTAATTACAAACACAGAAGGCAAACACCTACAACAAGAAGCAATTTTCTAGTACTTGTTGATCATTGGCGGATAAACACACTATTTTTTTTTTGGTAAATTGACACATGCTAGGCACGCGTCATCTTTCTGAAAACAAATTTTTGGCAACCAAACTTTTGGTTGCCAAAAATAAAAAGTAAATTTTTGTTTTTCATTCGGCGACTAAATAATTTTAGTAAAAGTAACTATACATCGACTAAAATATTAGTTGGTCGCTAAAAATAAGTTTTTAGCTACCAAACTTTTGGTCGTCAAAAATAAAAAGTAAATTTTTTTTTTCATTCGGCGACTAAATAATTTTAGTAGCCAAAATTAACTATACAGCGACTAAAATTTTTTTTTTGTCGCCAAATGTAGCATATTTAGCGACTAAAATTTTTTTTAGTCTCCAATTGTGGAATTTTTAGCGGCTACATTTTTTTAGTCGCCAATAATCAATATACCCCAACTAAAAAGTAAATTAGTAGCTAACTCTTGTATTTTTGCCGACTAATATAATTTCTAGTAGCCAATTCCACAACTTTTGGTGACTAAATTTTTTTTGGTCGCCAAAAGTGTAATTTCTTGGAGTGACACTTCCATCTACCGTCACTAAATTGCATCTCTTTACTATTGTCTCTGTTGGTCTCCATTGTATATGACCAAACCATCTCAATCTATTCTCCCTCAACTTATCTTCTATCAGTACTACTTTTACCCATTCTCGAATATACTCATTCCTAACTCTATATTTTCTAGTCTTGGTACACATTCACCTAAGCATTCTCATCTCAACAATACTCATCTTATCTACATGTTGTTTCTTAGTTGTCCAACATTCTATCCCATACAACATCGCTGGTCTAATACCTGTTTTATAGAACTTCTCTTAATTCAACTAGAGGTTTGAAAACATTGTAGTTTGCTCTTCTGTATGGCATATTTTTCATTTATTTTTCCCCTTTTCAGATCATTCAACGGTTTTCAATTGTTGATTTATCAAATTTCTATTTTGATGCTGCCAAAGATCGACTTTATGTTGGGTACGTTACTTCACATCATAAAGAACTATATCTTTAGGTACTTCTTTTCTTACTTTACATCATAAAGAACTAAATAATTCCTTGCGTGTGATTCCTTTACCACCTAGCTATCATTCTACATTTTTTGGCACGAGAGATGTTGCAATATTGATGGTTAATGAATTTAGATTTTGTTTGCCATGTAGGTTTTTTGCATTCACTGTTTTATGATTTTCAATTGTCAACCTAGTATGGGCACCCTATTTCTCATTTTCCCTTATTGGCCTCTGCACTTTAGCTAAAATGTTGATTCTGATGCACCACATAATTGATTTATATGTTCTATATTCACATCTTGTAAAGAAAAGTGATGGCTTAAGTGTACATTGAATTCCTGACCCAATACTTCTAGCTCCCATAATGTTGCGAAGTGCATTTTTTTTCCCCTCCTATTAATACACAATACTTAACTAATTTCTGTTCATTATTAAGGTGGTTAATTTTTTGGAACTGTTGGTTAATTCACTTTGACCCCTTGCATTTCAAAATGTCACATGTACATGCCATGTGGTCATCTTAAAGTGTTTTATTTTTTATTTTTTGGGTACAATGGAAATTGTCATCTTAAAGTGTATTATGCCATTTAAAGGAATACCATATGAGTGTCATGTATGAAAAATGTAAAATTATCATCTTAATGTTTTAGTTTTGGTTGAGCTTGAGACATTTCTGTGTGGGTGATTTTCCGACCACACTGCCCGCTTAGTAATCAGCTGGAGAGCACTGGCAGAATAGATGGCACCTGATTGACCTGCAACAGAAATATAAGAATCCCGAGGTGGTTTCGACCACCCGGGGGCACTCCGACGATCAAGTCAGTATATCTCTCAAAGATAAATCAAGTACTAAACTCACAAGCTTGAGTATCAAAAGAATACCTTAGACCCATGGGAGTGCCACATCTGCTTTCCATTGTTAGGGTAATTGCTCCAATACTTACCTCATTTGGCTGAGGATGTTTGGCAAAATCTTCCTTTTCAGTACAATACTGAAGATGGTTCAATTGCTAAATTTGTTTTTGAGTCAAGATGGCCAGTATTGAGCGAAAGATGGCTTGCTTTCCCTGACAAAGAAATCGATTTGTGGGCAAATATTCTTGTGGTAATTTCTCTGTTCTTGAACTGAAGATTAACTAACCTAAGATGACTATTTGTGCTGTAAAACCCAAGTTATGTATAGGATTATTTTATTGGATAGAATAGTAATTAAATTAATTTATAAGGGTCATTTATTAATATCAAAGAATTAGTTATGAGATGGCATTATATTTTCTATTACTTAGATGGGTAATTTTGTAACTTTGAGAAATTAGGTTAATAAGCCCACTTGTTGTGGCTTTAAATCTTGGGAAACAAACAAAACAGAGGCTAGGAATTGCTCCATAGGCGGCAAGGGTTTGAGAAGGTAAAAGAAAAAAAAAAAGAAAAAAGAAAAAGAGAAGAGAGGTTCCAGTGAGGCTGCAATAGGGATTGGAGGCAGCACGTTGGGTGATTTTGGGACACCCATTAGTTGAGGTAAAATCTGTCTTTACTGTTGATTATTAAGTTTATGTTGAGGAATTAAACAATCAATGCATTAAGGGGATTTGGAAGATCTATAAGTGCCTACTTAGGTTTTGAAAATTGGGTGCAATGTGTAAGTGTAACTTTGGGTGGGTAATAGAAACAATGGAGTTTTGTATCATGGGTAAGGGTGTGTTTGGCTATAAAGTTGGGTTGAATGGTTTGATCTCTTGGATATTAAAGTAATACATTAATCTATTATAGTGGTGCTTTTGTGGGTGTTTGTAACATGTAAAAAATATTAATTTATTTGAAGTTTTATTTATTAGGTTTGTGTGATTGAAGTGGTGAAATTGGGTGTTTGGAGTTGGTGTTGGAATATTATTTCTAAGCGTTTGGAGTAAGTAACCCTCTATCACTGTTGGTACATTTTTATTCCTATTGAATCGTTTAAAATTATAAATATTTATTTATAGCCTCCATATTCTCTTAAAATAAAATATGGGTCAAGTATAAAACAATGTCGAATATTATTATGAAAATTATTTGAATATTTTGTGAAACTATTCTGAAAATTATACCAAATGTTTATTCTGAAAATATCGAATATTTTATTTAAAAGTTGTGTATTGTTTGAATTTTGAACATCACTCTAGT